GCTGTGCTGGGGGAGGAGGTCTTTTGCTCCACCCCTTGGCGTCTCTATAAAAACCCTGGGGCCGAGACAGTCGGGGCCCTTTGGAATAGGTTCCAGGCCCTCTCGAGGCTATTCTTTATTTTCTATCTGTTTATCTCCGCAATAAATCCTTCTATCTAATATTTCCTGCTGCTCACACTCAAGAAAACTCTGGGGAGCTACGGGGTTGGTGGGTAAACACCCCACAATTAACTAAAACTACATAATGTTTGATATGTTTAGCACAGGGTTAAAAATGTAGTGACTCCAAGGTAAGAGGATGTTCAGCCAAGAATCATGAGAGTTACTACCCCACTGTTATTGCTGATGATGCTAACTGACATTCTGGCTCCCACTGCAGGGTCAAGACAAGAGGTCTCACAAGGCAACTTTTCAATGTCCTCATTAAAAACAGACTAGCTGGGGCTAGAGAGATGGCCCAGTAGTAAGAGCACTTGCTGTTCTTGCAGAGGTTCTGAGTTCCCAGCACCCACATCAGGTGGTTCAGAACTGCTATAAGGGCACCTGGACATACACGGTACACACACACACACACACACACACACACACACACACACACATCTTTAAAAAACAAAAACAAAAAACAAACCAGCCTAGGACCCTGTGCTTGCTTTTTACTGTGCTAACACTGAAGTGTCTACCAGTGAGCCTGTCTCCATGTCTAGCAACCCACTTCCTGAAACTCCTGCATTGTTCAGAGTCCATGTGTCCTGGTTGCTATACATGCAGAACAGGCAACCACCTCACCCAGGCAACACAGGAGGAGGGAGGGTATGGATTACTCACTGCTTTCATTCTGTGGACGTTGGACCAGAACTTGAAACTGGAGCCGAAGGATCCCTGGGCTCTGGGCATCCTGGTCACAGCCTTGCAGGGAGAGGTTGAAATTCCCAGCCATGTTCCCTGGCTGCTTATCCTCTAGTCTGAACACCTCCGGGTTGGTGGTGGATCCTGGGATGTAGTATTCAACACGCTCCTCCTTCCTCTCACAGTTGGAGACATTGAAATTGAGGAAGGAGACACTGGCCCTTAGGTGTGCAGGGACAACAAACTGCCAGGTCATAAGCTCATCCTCAGGGAAGCCTCCTGGGTAGTTGGCGGACATCAGGGTGGCTGAGCCTTCACCCTCAAATACTGACTCGATGATGCACAGGCCTGTTGAGACAGATCCAAAACAGAAAGAAAGGAGATGTCTACACCTGTCCTCATTGTCCATGGCTAAGGGCAGGATTACTGGGGAAAATGCAGTCCTCAAGAGTGGGGCTGCACATGATATTTACACTGAGGGTGGGGATTAGGAATGAAGACCTATTAGCAGTGTATGAGCAAATGTTTAATACTGACTGAGTTGGAGAAAGGCCAGTTTGTTCAGTGTACCCATCTCCTTGAGGTTAATATAGTCCCTATGGCTTAATACAGCTCCCAACAGATCTGAATGTGGAGCTGGACTGTGTTCTGACATAACACACACACACACACATGATCAAGAGCATTAGGCCATAGCAGAATCACAGGGAAGTGATTAGCTTTGGGCTTTCATTACCTTTTCCTCTTCTAAGATTTTCACTCAACTAAAGTTTCTATAATCCTATTTTTCGTAATGTTGAGCTGTTGAACTCTCACTCCTTCAAGATTTACTTGACCCTAGGGCAGCATGGGTGAGCAAATGGGCACAACAGTGACACACTGACATGCCTGGAGAAGACAGAAGTCAGGGTGACAAACAGATGTGCTCCATGACAGTGCATCTGTAAGATGAAGCCCAAGTCATGTTGTGAAACAAACATTGTATGCAAAAAGGACAAAGAAGTTGGGCATGGTAGTGGACACTTGTAATATCAGCACTGGAGAAATGGAGGCAAGAAGATGGGGAGTTCGAGGCCAGCCTGGGCTACATGAGACTTTGTCTCAAAAAATAAGTAGTTGCCAGGCAATGGTGGTGCATACTTTAAATCCCAGCACTCAGGAGGCCTAGGTGGATCTCTCTGAGTTCAAGGTCAGCCTGGTCTACAGATCGAGTTCCAGGACAGCCAAAGATACACAGAGAAACTATGTCCCAGATAAATAAATAAATAGCTGACATTGCATCTGGAATACCCTGGAACATCCTGCATATGTCTGTCTGATTAATAGGGATAGGAGGTGCATGCTCACGTTTTATAGATGACCGGTTTGCGATACTGAAGCCTGAGATGTTCCTGGGTATGTTCCATGGCAGGTTTAAGGCCAATTTCACACCCTCTTGCATCTTGATCCGGGACACAGTGCCGTTACTGCAGAAGGTCCCAATCTTGACCTCAGTGGCATCAATACGACCACTGATGGAGTGAGTCACCCCATCGGCACAGTGCTCGCCTGGGCCAATCTGTCTCAGGCGAGGGGTTGAGAACTGTAGCTCCAGGCCAATGCTCTTATGAGCTCTGACGTCCCAGATGTAAGTTCTGTTGAGGGTGGGCAGCTCTGATGTGGATGGCTGAAGACGAACCTCCCCAAAAGGACATGGGCCTGACATGCAGTCTAAAACAGACACAAAAACAATTTTGAACACAGATACAAGACCACATGCTGCTCCTCTGCAGCCTCTAAAGTGTCCAGGTGGTTTTTACCACTCCTAATTGCGCACTGGTGGCCTTTTGCTGGTCAGTGCCAATATGGTGGTATTTTATTTGTACTGAAATGTGATTTTAATTGTATGTTAATAAATAAAGTTGCTTGGAGGTCAGAGCTAACAGCAAGCCATAGCAGAGCTGGGCATTCGTGGCACACACCTTTAATCCCAGCACTTGGTAGAAGAGCTAGGTAGATCTCTGTGGTCAAGGATACAGCCAGCATTGGAGACACACGCCTTTAATCTCAATACCATAGAAGACCTGGAGGGCTGTACATACAGGCAGTGACGAGGCAATCATGTGTTTGGGTTTACAACCAATGAGAACGCAGAACAGAAAGACTATAGAAAGACAAACACATAGGAAGTAGGTCTCTTTCGGAGAGGTAGGACCACCGCAGGAGGAAGGGTAAGGTTTTAGCTCTGAGCTCTGACCTCTTGGCTTTCTTCTTTGCATTGGTTCTGTGTTTCTTATTTAATAAGACGGTCGGTTACATCTACAGTGCCTCAGTTGGGGAGTTATTTTGGCTCAGAGAAGACTAAGAGGAGGCTTGGCTATATTCTCATTCTGATTTGGGCTGCAGGACTGAGAAGGCCTGGCCCCACTGCTTCAGATGGCATAACCTGGCGCTGACATTGCATTACTTCAGTCCTGGAACATTGTATGTGTTTACCCAGGAGAGGCTGGACTTTAGCAGAAACAGTCACTCCATGCTGTGCTCCTGGTCCCTCTTTTGCTTCTCTTTGGCTGGACTGCTTCTGGGAGCATTCCCTTGTGGTGGGTAATTTAGACTATCCACTTGACAGGATTTGGAATCACCATGGAAACAAACCTCTGGGCTTGTCTGTGAAAGATTTTCTAGATTAGATAGATTAAGGTGGGAAGACCCAACTTGAATGTGGGCAGCACCATCATCACCTGGGTCCTGAACTGAATGGAAAGGAGAAGGTGAGCTGAGCACCAGTGTTCATCTTTCTCTGCTTCCTGACTAGAGTGACAATGTGACCAGCCACCTCCTGCTCCTGCTGTCAAGTCTTCTCCACGATGACAGACAGGATCCCTTGAAATAATAAACCCAATATTCATCCAAAATAAACCCTCCTTCCTAAGTCACTTTTGCAGGGTATTTGATCACAACAATGAGATGAGTAATAATATGGACACACACACACACACACACACACACACACACACACACACACACACACACACACACACACCTTTGGACTGAAGACACCTGACACTGTTTCCCAGGCACAGTGCCTGTTATCTGGTTAGTTGTCCCCAACTGGCCTTCTAAAGAGCTACAGGGAGCCTGCACCTTGGGACAACTTCCTTCCTTTATTTAGAAATTAATTTCATGGTTTTGAGGGCACACTGCCAGGCTCCACCTTTTAAACTTCCTTTTCCTTCTACATCTCATTAATATGCTGGGCACATTCAGCACACAGTTCCCCTGACTGGCTGATCCCAAGGCACAGTGAGCTTCCTGCACTGAGGCTCTCTTGACTCTATTAACACTGCAGAGGAATCATCTTAAAGCTAATAACTAATTACAACCTTTGATACATGTTGTTTCCTAAGCCTTTTAAAACAACATAATTACTATCAAGGAGGATTTATGTAAGACTGAAATAACAGAAAGCAGGCAAAGCCACTTCAGGATTTTTGTGCTGTACATAGAGGATAGAGGATGTGAAGGTACAATGGCCTTTGGTCTAGTGATCAGAATCTGTGGGTCCTTACTTGTGCTCCACTTGGGTGTTTGAAAGTGCTGTTGATGGGGTTGGGGAAAGTGCTTGTAATGTGAGAATGAGGACCTGAGTTCAAATCCCTAGGACCCCATAAAAAGCTGGGCATGGCAGTACATTCCTGTAACCTCAGCATTTAGGGGCAGAGAGACAAGTGGACCAGAGCTTTCTTTTTTTCTTTTTCTTTTCTTTTTCTTTTTCTTTTTTTGTTTTTTTGAGACAGGGTTTCTCTGTGCAACATCCCTAGCTGTCTTGGAACTAGCTCTGTAAACCAGGCTGGCCTTGAACTCCCAGAGATCCTCCTGCCTCTGCCTCCCAAATGCTGGAATTAAAGGCATGCGCCACCACCACCCAGCAGACCCAAGCTTTTAAAAGCTAAGTGAGAGATCCTGTTTCAAGGCAATAAGAGCAATGGAGGAAGACAACCAGTGTTCTGTTCTGGCCTCTGCATGTGCATGCATGGGTCTGTGTACCTGCACATTCATGTGCATATACCTCTTACCCACACACAAAAGCTGGGTGGGGCAATGCATGCCTGCAGTCATAGAGCTGAGAGGCAGAGACAGGAAGATCCTGGGGTGGCCAGCTAACCTAGCTAATTGGTGAGTTCCAGGTTCAGTGAGAGATCCTATCTCAAAAAATACAGTGGAGGGCAGTAGAGAAAGACACTGGACATCGCTCTCTGGCTTTCACATGCATGGACATGGATGTGCCTGTACACACACACACACACACACACACACACACACACACACACACACACACTGTCAACTCCAAATAGAATTAAGAGAACTCAAGAGCAGTCTAAGACCTCTGAGATCATCCACATCAAACCTCTCATTATTGCAAAGCAGCCTTCAGATGACTTGTATTTGGCCACTTGCAGATACAGCTGACCCAGCACTGAAGCTGGGCTGTCTGTGGTTAACCTGCATTCGTGTCGGGGCACTGCACAGCCAAACCAATAAAACAGGATCAGATAAAGTGGTGACTAATTTGGCTAAAATTAGACTGTGTGTTGATAAAGATCGTAGCTATTTTAGGAGTTCATAGAAACGTCACTGTGTGTATGGAGCAGCTCTTAGCTTCCCACTTACGTTTGTGTGTGTACATGTGTGTGTTTGTTGCTGGGCATATGGAAGTCAGAGGACAACTTATAGGAATCGATTCTCTCCTTGACCATGTGGGTTCCAGAAATCAAACTCAGGTCATCAGGCTTGGCAGCAAGCGTCTTTACCCACTGAGCCATCTTGCTGGCTCCCCGGTCATTTCCCACAGTGCCAGGGCAGCAGCTAGTTCTTTCCACTGTGGGATCTTAGTCCCTACCGAGGCCTGGCTCCTGAGACCTGGTGCCCTAGACTTACTCATAGCCTGGACTACTCAACAGTTCCTGGTTTGATTCTCAGTCAAGAAGCCCAATCTCTAGCCTCAGCTCTGTTGCTAAACACAACACTGAGAGAGTCACCCATGTTTGCAACTGTCCTTTGTCACCAAAAGCCTCAGCCACAAAGATGGAAGTGGTTCGGTGACAGGCCTGGCTATAAATCTCCTGCATTCTGCCCAGTGCAAAAACTCAAGTAAGTCAAACACTTCCTCTCCAGAGAGGGACATGTCACTCAGAAGTGATTCATAGCTCATTTTTCCCAGCAGAACTCTACCTTCATAAAATTTCATGGAACTGCTGTAGAATAAGAACTAAGATGTCAAACTTCACTAAAGCTTCCAGATGTTTGTTGGGAAAGGAGATGAGGAGCAGGCACACCACTGGACCCAATCCCAGGCCTGTATCTATTATTTTTAGAACTGACACTTTATCACCTTGACAAGTTGGAAGCATGCATTTTCACTACCCACCAGATGACTCGGGCATCCTAGTACTGAAGGACTAAATGTACTCAAATACTTTACTTGTGAGATGGCTTCTTAGACCATTTTCAAAATTAAGGTCACTTTATTGGCTTATTTGGTTATAAAGTAACACATGCTTTTAAAATGACAACAATCAAAAGGGCAGTAGAGACAAACAGAAAGGAAGGCCCAGGGCGTCACACTTACCTGTGACCTTCCAAGTCTTTGTCTTCCATTCTGCTGTAGTGGATGTTTGTGTACTCTCTAAGATCCACAGGTAAAAACCCAGTTCCAAGCATGGCAACATTAAGAGATGGTGCCAATGGGAGGTAATTAAGTCACAAGGTGGATGACATTAGCATCTTAACAAAAAGGCTCAAGTGGAAGGGATACTAGCTTTTGTGCCTGTGCCTTGGGCTTGCCAGTCTCTAAAACTGTGAGAAAAACACACATCTGGTCTTTATAGCAGCAAAAATGTCCTATAGTGAGCCCCTTGTTTTTTAGATCTTTCGAGCACATGAATCAAGAGCCTCACAGATCTATAGTTTGTGGGTCTCGCCTGTGTTCTGTGAAGAGATGGTGTGGCCAAGTGGTTAAGAACAAAAGACTAAAGTTGGGTGTGCACCTTTACTCCCAGCATTTGGGAGGCAAAGGCAGGTGGATCTCTGTAAGTTTCAGGCCAGCCTGGTCTACAGAGCGAACTCCAGAACAGCTAAAGGGTATGTAGAAAGATCTTGTCTCATAAAACCAGAAAGCAACAAGCAAGCAAGCAAGGACTACAGGCCGAGTCTCTTGCTCCTGTCCTACTCTGCTCCTCGTGAGCTCTGTTAGCCTAGACCAGTTCCTCTCTGGTCTGCCTGGGTTCTCTTGAAGATTAACCATGAGCCCATGGGAAGCACATGGGCCTATAAATGGCCATGTAAGAGTCAGGTTGGAGAGCTGAGATTTTAGAGTGGACCTCTGTCCAGCATCAGAGCCTGGCACAATCTGTGCAAGAGCAGTAGGGCAGGGACCTAGACAGCAGCTCATGAGGGCCAACTCACCGATATTCTTCTCAATCCCCAACACAAAGTGCTTCTCCGGATTGATGCAGCTGAAGGTAAAAGACTTTCTTTCTCCAGGTTTGACAAGCAACTCGGTCATATGCTGTCTAGAAATGATGATGTAGCAGGGTTTCACAGGCAGGGCTGGGCTCGCCAGCCTGATGTGCACTGTAATGCCACTTCCGTGGGGCAGAGTAATCTCAGATGCTTCTAAAGGAAGAAGCAAGAATTGACATGAGCAAGGGATACAGTCTGTAAACTTACCATGGTCCCCCTGGCCTGGGAAGGGGGACAGCATGAAGTGACAGAGTTGACTTTCCCAATGGCAAAAATCCTGGACCTGCTGTCTGGGTAGGGATATCACCTCTTGTTAAGTTAAAAAAGAAAGTTAACTTAAAAAAAATTATCTTTATTTTCTGTGCATTGGTGTTTTGCCTGCATGTACGTCTGTGTGAGGCTGTTGGACTCCCTGGAACTGGAGTTACAGACAGTTGTTAGCTGCCATGTGGGTGCTGGGAATTGAACCTGGGTCCTCTGTAAGGACAGCCAATGCTCTTAACCACTGAGCTATATCTCTCCAGCCCTTGGGCTATTAACTTTAATAAAAAAATAAAAGCCACGCTGCTGATCTCCTGGGTAGTGCGTTTTCAGATCCCTATACATGCAGCATTAATGACAAGCAGAGACATTGTCCTGCCTCTTTTCTTTATGACTTTGACTGCTGTGGGGCGGCGGTGGCAGTGGGGGTGGGGTGGGAGGGTGGGGGTGGGGGAGCACTACACAGTTGCATCTGTCTGCAGAGACACTTGTCTGCAAAGAGCTGCTGCAGCTGCTTCTTGCCACAAATGCTTTACAGGCCAAGAGTATACGTTTGTACCACAGAGGACAGGACATTTGCTAAAATTAGAGGTAAAATATACTGGCCCAGCCTAGTGGTGCAGGCTCATCATCTCAGCTCCTTAGTAAGCTGAGGCAGCAGGATCAATGTAACCAGCTACTTTATGCTTTTGCCTTTCCTACCACGGTGGGCTATATATCTCTTTTTCAACTGTAATCTCAGAAAAACTCTCCTTCCTCAAGACACTCCATGTCAGGTATTTGGTCATGGCAATGAGAAAAGTAACTAATAGAGTCTCATTCACACAGCGGCTCTCTCTGACCAACTTTCTGCAGTGCTCCTCCTCCCTCACCCAGACGTCCTGGGCCCCCTCGGTTCCTCTGGCTCTAGTCTCTAGCCTGAGGGCACCCTGCCATCTGCCCAAGTTGCCCCTCTCACTACCAGCAGGCAAGCTCCCATAGGAGGACAGCAGAACTCACCATCTTGCTCAGCAGTAGTCTCAGGACACAGAAAACTTCAAGCCCCCAAATGATTCTATACATAGGTACAGTCTGGCCTTGTCTTTTCTTGCATTTGATTGCTCACAAATATATGACCACTCCCTTACTTCGGTGAGGACCAATTAATCTTCCCTGGGGTAAAAATGCTTCGTCCTGAAATAGTGTGACAATTGAACCTTCCAAGATTCAAAATCCAAGGAATTCTTTAAGACAGCAGATGGCGCTGAGACCCACATTCAGAATTGTGGTGTTCGGTTTTATATCTGAGCTGTCTTATCACATCCCCTGTGTTGTTTCTGCAATTGTAAAACTGTCTTCCATACTGACTATAAAAGGCTTGCAGTAATCCTCTCTCTAGGTTTGGTTTCCACCCTTCACAACAGCCTCCAATCCTGGGTAGCCAAGTCCAGCTAATTCAACATCAAGGGCAGTCAGGTTGTGATGCTACCAGTTTCCTTCATTCTTACTCCTGTTTTTTTCACCTTTTAGCCAAACCATAAATGAACATAATTACTATTGTTAATTAATGTCTTTTGTTTCTTCTCCTCCTTCTCCTTTTGTTTTGTCTTGTTTTTTTTTCAAGACAGGGTTTCTCTGTGTATCCCTGGCTGTCCTGGAACTCACTCTGTAGACCAGGCTGGCCAGAACTCAGAGATTTGCCTGCCTCTGCCTCCAGAGTGCTGGGATTAAAAGCGTGCGCCACCACAGTCTGGCAATTAGTATCATTTTAATTGTTAGATACAAGGCAGCTAGATCAGCAGTTGTGGAGCTGGAGTAGGGAGAGGGAAGGAGGCCCAGGAGACTCTGAAGGATGCAGAAGTTGCTGCAGGTCTTGACTAGTGTGGTGACGGCCTATGTTATACAGATGTCAATATCTATCAGTCCGTACCCCAGATTGTGATGGCATTTTATGTTATAGCTTAATACATTAAAAAACAAGTTCAATGTTATACCTTAATACATAAAAAAAAAGAGTTCAAATGCCATACTTTAATATACAAAAATAAGTGTTCATAAAAAGTCACAAATACATCTAGAATACAGTTTAATGTTTTGTGGGGGCTATCTTTCCTCAAAGAGTACATAAACATTTCAAATCTCTTGAATTTATAACTAGATTCAGAAGACCAAAGCAGAGTTTACCAAAATCTCCCTCTCAGGTAGCTTCTGTTTGCAAGCAGGCCAGGACCCAAAGTAATTTTGATAATTGCCATTCATTCTGTTATTAACAACAGCCAAAGAAAAACACATGATGTCTTTTAGAAATTCAGGATTTTTAGAATCTTTGAAATCAGATATTTATTCAATAAATACTTTCTGGGTTTGTAATAGATTCCAAAGGCCACACTTGGTACAAATAATTTACTGACAGGCCAGGCATGGTAGCACAGTCTATAATCCCAGTACTTGGGAGGCACAGGCATGCTGATCTCTGTGAGTTCAAGACCAGCCTGGTCTACATAATAAGTTCAGGCCAACCAAGGCTATACAGTGAGACCTTGCTCTAAAAATTAATTAATTAGTTAATTAACAGGAATATCCAGAGTCCCTGCTCCCAGGGAGCTAATAGTCTAATTTGTCAATTTAAAAAAATAACAAAATTCCCAGACCTGGTGGGTCTGACATAAAATCCGTTCATCTGTACTAGAAGCACTTTTAAAAATTTATTTCTTTTTATGAGTTGTCATGTCTGTGCACTATGTGTGTGCCAGCAGAATCCAGAAGATGGCATCAGATCCACTCTGGACCTGGAGTTAGAGGCAGCTGAGAGCTGCCCTGTGGGTGCTGGGAACTAAATCTGGGTCCTCTAGAGAACAGCCAGTGCTCTTAACTACTAACCCATTGCTCTTGACCCTGGAAGTTTGTTTTTTGGTTTTGGTTTTTGTTTTTGTTTTTTCTAGCACTTTGACACTCACTTTCAGCTTTTTATTTTTCCATCATGAAGAGCCAACTATTCCCATCTAACTAGTGAGCACAGCAGTGGTTCCTCCACAGAGCAGAGTAGTCACTGTTGTGGACATACTCTCTATTTTGGGTCTAGACAACCCAGATTTTCATATGAATTCATTATGCTCTGACTCCCAACAGACAACTGAGTTCCACTCTCCGGTGCATGGTGCCGCCCAGCCACTGTGCCTTTGCTACAATTTGAATATGAAACGTTCCCAAAGGTCCATGTGGCTTGGTCCCTGATGGATAGTATTTTGGAAGGTTTTGGAGACTAGGAAGTAGGACCTAGCTGGAGGAAGTGGGGGGTATCTTGTTCCTGGCCCCTTCCTGTCTCCATGTGCTTCCTGTCCACCATGAAGTGAAGAAGCCCTCACCACATCCTCCTGATGCTGTGATGGTCTGCACACAGCCAAATACACACGGCCAAGTAGCCATGGCCTGACCCTCTGGGATTGAGTCAGAATAAATCTTTCTTCCCTTAAACCATTTTCTCAGTGTTTTAGCAGTGGGAAAGGTAACCAATATGTTATCCTCAGTGAACCAGATCATTAGCCCCTAGTAAGCTTAAAGGCTAGGTGACTCAGATTGTTAGCCTCTAGTGAGCCCACTAAGCTAGGTAATCAATACATTATCCTCAGTGACCCAGATAATTAGACCCTAGTGAGCCCACTAAGCTTCCAAAGGAAATACTGAGCTAAAGAGTTGTGTTCAGCATTCCCACCCACATTTGCAGCAGAAGGAGGGAGTTTAATTCACAGGCTGTTTTCCTGAGTCACAACCAAGGACTCTTCACTCACATGGCTGCCACATGTATCTGCCCCCCTCATTCTGAATGATATGTAAGACAACAGGAAGGGCAGAGAGGGAATGAGGAGGTAAGGATTCCACCTGGAGCTCCCTAGACCCACTTCAACGCTCTACTGCTTCACCATAGTGAGGGGTCATGGGGACAGTACTGCTGGCATAAAATAAATCAGAAGCTCATTTGATCACAGGTACTTGGAATTTGAGAACATTTTGTTTACATGGTTTTTCCTCATACTCACTCAACCATTTATCATACCTTGAAAGAGGAAAAACCAACACTTGGAAGTGAAACCTCAGCCTTCCCACCCATTCCTCTGTTGGGCCCTGGCACACCAGAGCCCTGGATGAAGTTTGGAGGAGAGGAAAGCATTTCTTTCATCTCTGCAAGAATTTCATACTTCATTGGTGGAAAGTTCAAAAGGTTTGTGACCCCAAGTCCAGAGAAATACAGAAAACACTTGCAATACTGGTTTGATTTTGAGGTCTTCTGGGCTGAAAAAATCCAAGTCAACCTTCTCGGGAAAAGGTGTGGGGCCCTGGGGAAAGGTTCTGAGGCCCCAGTTCAGCTCCTGAGTCACACACAGCTCTCTTCAGCTCCCCGCTGTCTTAATTCTCCTTATTAGGGCATCTTCACTCATCCCACCTTGCCTGTGCCTCTCAGGTGGGAATTCCAATGTGTCTAATCATTGTTCATTATTCATATCACAGGATACTCCACAGTTGTCTCTTGTTACTTCTTCCCCCACTGTCCTGTTTCTTACTCCAATTCTCTGTGATGGATTTGAAACGCTAAGGAGCCATTTCCTCCCATATCTGTCAAACAGTTTCTAAGACTGACACACACACACACACACACACACACACACACACACACACACACAATTTAAACACTTTTAGATGCCTCAGAACTAGTTGCCTTCATGCTTGGTATGGTTTCTTCTGGGACTCAGTTCATATTCACTTTCTCCGTCCAATCACAACGCACTAGGCAGCATCCCGTCAGGGACAAGGCTAAGCCTGGATACCCTCAGGCCTGGTGCCCTGGATGTCAAGGGAGACAGACACGGAGTGTTAAATGTGAATCAGCATGGGTGATCAGTCATGGTTTGTGTGGG